ACGAAGAATCCTCTTCCAGACACACGAAAATGTCTTGTATGGAAATTCCACTGCGACTTCTTGAATATTCAACTTCCGACTGTGGAGGCGAAGACACAAATTCACATTTGATGCCTTTGAAGAACTTCTTCTCACGAGACACTGAGTTGCGCTGCAGTCGCACGCGACGAGGCAATGCAACTCGTGAGTGAATTTTAAATCACCTTCAAATGGCACACAAATTATTTCAATTGCCCTGAAATTGTTTCGATGCCAGATGATGAGATAAAATCTGCAATTGAATTTTCGCATTTGATTGTCCACAAACGAGCAGAAAATCCAGTCGCGTCAAGGAATGATTGAAGATATTTGATCTGGCTCTCAGGAATTAATTGAAACTGTATTAAATGTTGCAAATGAAATACTTTTGCCAGGCTATAAAATGCCGCAAATGTTAATTTGCCTGCTGGAACATTAAAGTTAATCGACTCAACATTTCTATTGGCCACCAAATGATCCAACACATAAATATTTGTGTCTCCTCTTCTATTCAGCAGTCAATATACAATTAATATGCAATCACTTGAGATGGATTTAATCCAATTTTTGTCTCCTTAAATGGTGAAACGTGATTCGGCTTAACGACCGGTGAGATGTTGAGATTCACTCTGATGGTTGACGTCTTTTGAAATTTCCCCCAAATTACTCTAATTTCCATCTCACATTTTACTTCTCGCCTTTTGTGCTGCACTAAATGATTCACCAGAGCGACCGAAATGAAGATATGGCGATTAATGTGACGGCGATTTAACCGCACTGAATGGGAAATCAAATGAAATGTCACTCGCTTGCGATCAATAAATGCTAAAGTGACAAATTCTGGCGATCCTCGCGGTGCGATTCACCACGGCAACTTACAAAAGCATTAATCAATGAGATTTGAGAAATAAATTTGAATAATAATGCCGAAATATGGTGAAAATTCAATGTGATGCAAAATGGCATAAGACAAATTTATATGTTGACCAGAATTGAAATGCTTTTAATGATCTCCGGGCCATTTCTCGCGAAAGATCTGTGAGAAATCGCTTTTCGCCGCTGATTAATCAGACGATGGTGAGAATCTGTCCACCTTCGGTGAAAAATTGCCTTGAATTTTGAGAAAACCCTTCAATCACGCGTCTTCAGCACACAAACCAATCGTGCCAATCTTCCGCCCATCCATCAATGGCCAAATAAATGCGTCTAAGTCAAATTGGTTGAGGAATGTGTCAAGATGATCTGGCTGTCCCATTTTATCACCTGACGAAATCTCATCTCTGGCCGCCAGAAAAGTTCTTATATGCGAGAAAATTGCGCCGAGTCATCGTGAGATAAATTCACTAATTTACGATTATCGCGCTTATGGTTATTTCTTCTCATTTCACTTCAATCTCTGAGGTGTTTGCTATGAGCCGCAAAATTGGCCTCTTTGTGCTTGTTTGCCAGGGACAAAAGAATGAGACACACACACAGCATCTTCAGCTGATGGATAAATTAACCAAAATCTGCTCATCTGCCATGCCTTCAATCAGAGCTGAATGCGAAGGTAATGATATGCTTTTCGGCTTAGGGAGGCTGTGAAGAGAAAATATCGCGCGAGACTCTTCAATTACCATGCAAATGCATAATGACGAAAGGTTAATTAGGAGAGATGAATTTCCCTAAATCAATAAAACAATAAAAACCACAAGGAGATGCCCAATAAAAGCTCATTTATCACCACCGCCAACACTTCATCCATCACCTTCACGGCTCATCACCACGTTTTTGGCACCGCCAGATAACGCATAAATCTCTTATCTGGCGAAATTCTCTCTGTTCTCCAGAGAGCGCGCAAATCCGCTGGGAAAATATCCGAAAAAAGAAATGCCCTGGGACGAGATTATTTGTTTAGCCTTTGTTTGCCTTTGCCTTCTGACCCCGTGACTTTTTTTGTCCAATTTTCTAATTACACTCTTGTCATCGCACATTCATCAGTCAAAGCGGCGCGCGAGATTTTCTTTGTCTGCCCAACGCAAAGCCGGACTTTTTGCCCCATGGGAAAATTAGACTGAAAATTGCAAGGCGAGAAGAGAATTCCATGGGTGTGATTGGAAAGAAGGAACAAATAATTAAAATTCAATTAGATGAGATGATAAATTGGCACATGGACTCCCTCGTCAAAGAAGCCCAGCATTCCACTGTGAGAGAGATAATTTACACAAGTGCCTCCTTGCAGTACATATAATTAAATTAAGATGAAATTGGAAATTTTCTCTCGCGTCACACGGCGTAAGAAATGAGGCTTTTTTAGGAGCACTCAAATGGCCTAGAGACACTCTTGGGCGTGGCGCGGAGTCCCACACCGACGAAGATCGCCGCGGAATCGATGCGATTGACTCTGTACGTTACGAGAAATATTGATTGCAGGTAATCTGTGACGCACAGGATCGCTGCACGCAACGCATAGTGCAAATCATGCATATTAATTTGCCACATCCAGACACTGTGGCCACGAGAAAAAGGGGCAAAGATACTTTACGAGCTCAAGATTGTCTCGGAGGAATATTGCGAGTGTGGTGTAATAAACGATGGAAAGTTTTAATCTCGCGCGATAGAGGATTTTTGCGAAATATCGCGCAGTAGAATACAAGTGAGAATTGTAGACAATTTAGCGAATACGGTGGACATGTTAAATGAATGATCGGCGAAAGCCTTCCGCTCTGGCGGTGCATCCGCTGAAAAAAAAGCCGCGACCAACTGTGCTAATGAGCGGCAATCGATACCCAGAGAATTTGTTCTGGAGTCAACGGAAAAATCAATAATGAATTAATTAGCAAGTTTAAAAGGTGGATTTCACCAGGGAAACAAGAAATCAACTATCCCGCAGCTAATTAAAGTCACCATGTGGAAATATTTTGAGATTTTCATTAAAGCTAATTACCTTTATTCACATATATTATTTCTGCACCGAAAATTGATAAGAGCTCATTTCTTTTGCACGAGTAATAATTTCATTTTGACCATCATTTCCGCAAATTCTCAACTTGTCCGCGTATAATTGCATGGCGATAATTTCGGAACGACATTTTTTCAGCTGATCAATTTTCTGGCTGGGCATCATTTTCTCAAAAGACAACAGGAAGAGAATTGCGGAAACTTGTTCAATTGGCTGATTAACTCTATATTGACCACGAGAAAAATTACACGCCAGTAATGAGTGAAATATCTCTTTTCAGCTTAATTTATTGACGAATTTTTCAGATGCGCCACATAATTTTGTGCTCAACAATGGCCGAAAGTGTCATTAATTAATTTTAAAAAGCTTTTAGTCCATGTTATCATCGGAACATCTATGTGTATTTTCTCTCAACACGCCCAAAGTATTTTTCTTGTATTGTTTGTGTGCGTAGACAAATTAGTGACGTTGGAAAGACATTTAAACACCTGAAGAAAATAATAATATAAATTTATTGGATACCTTGTCATTGGGTGGAAAGGAGAAAAACCATCAGCGATACTGTGTAGCATTGGAAGAATTTCAGTGGTCTTTCATTGTCAATAAAAATTAAGGTTCCCTCCAAAAGGTATTTCACCAGTGCCGATGGAAAAATATTCGCATTAATTTAATTAAATGCTTGTCCAATTTATGCTGATTGAATTGGTGATCCAACCAATATTTTGATGTCTAATCCCGACGCCAAGGGAGCGGCTGAAGATGGGGAATTAATTGAATAGGCATGTGATTGAGTCCGGAACTCAATGGCGAACAGATTCACTCGCCATTGCCTTGATTGCCCTACAATTTGACTGTGGGCTCCGGAGCCTCGAGAGCCTCTATGAACTTCTTCGACTACCTCAAATACATTGTGCTGGTGAGCCAATATGGGGCCAACAGCAGCGCGCGACTATTAATCATCGACCACCAGCTCGGATATTAATTTGAAACTATTAACTACGTTTAGTTCTACATCCATTGGAGGATTTTTTCAAGACAACTCTTTGAGGGTATTTTGAGGTGGAGGACGCATCGATTTGTGTGCAATCCTCGTTCGCGGTGGGAGTCGAGCCGATAAATCTAGCATTTAGCGAACACAGGCGGGTGCAAGAAATGTTTGAGCACAGTTTTCTTGAGCAGGGCGCGTTTCTTCAGCAAATACTGACCACATTTGCCAATATCGCGACTCTTGCGCCGCGTTTTCTTGCCATTTCCTCTCGTGAGAACTAAAATCGTCGCATCATTTCGCGGACAAAGCTGTGCAGTTGCAGTGAAAACCATGGCGAACTTGTGAGATATTAATTGCCTCGCCATGGACAGGGCGGCTCTCACAATATGCACATTCTCTCCCTCTCGTGAGGCGACCCACTTTCCCACCAATCTGCCCGCCAGAAAAAAGGTATCGCGAAAAACGCAGCGCCAAATCCACTGACACCTTGTCACTCTCAGGCCGACGCATATTGGCTGGCGGATTATTAATTGCACGGTGCAGCGAGTCTTTTATTGCCAGCCATATCGCCCAATGCCTCTCGATACAATCACTATCTGGAGACTCCTCTCATGTCCAACATGAATGGCTGTCACGTTGCATTTTGGCGAAGCTCTCGCAAGTCGTGCGGGGCGATTCGACGTTGGGACAAAAAGGCCAAATATCGAATTTCCATCGCCACATATCGTCGTGCGAACGTGAAATGCAATCAATCATCATTTTATGAGCAAACATTTGTAGGTTCCATCTCGTTTTTTTTTCTGCCGTATCGCGCCTGTCGTGATGGGGTCTCAATATGGGGGAAAAGAGTGCCAAATTCCATTAGCTTTCTTCTCAATCGCGCACGTTTGCTGCCCTGCCGGAATCTGTAGATTCAGTGGGAAAAATTCCAATGATCTCGATGAACTAGAACACATGAAGCGTGTGTGTGTCCAAGAGATGTTTGGGCTTCAGCGAGTGGGAAGCGCAGCGAGTGTCGATGAAATTAATTGTGTGTCTCTCTTTACTTTGCAGACCCGCAAATGTGCCATCGGGCGTGACACGGCGGGGACTTTCTGAGCGGAAAGGACCAGACTAGGTCGTCTATGGATGGCCACGGCGGCACGCAGAGGAAGAAGCCGACGAGTTCCTCGCGAATGTGATGTCTTCCACGAGTATGGATATTAGTGAAACCTTCCGGCCGGAGGATTTGTCGAAAACGGACTTCTTCGACTTTGTCTCGGCATCCACACCACAGATGGGCATCGGCGTGGGTGTGGACAGGCCTCCAGGTATGGACACGAATGGTGGCAGTGGTGAACACCCGCCCCTCCAAGGATACGATCAGGTGAGCCCCAAATCTCCCATTTGGACTGAACAATATGGGCTACGAAGCCCAATTGGCATCGTGAAAGTCACTTCCATGGCACAGAAATGTGCTTCCACCACTTCTGCTTGTCGAGGAGAAATTCTAGCGCTCTTGGACGTCCATCTGTGCTGATTTATTTTCATATCTCAGCCAGAATAAACACGCGCTGAAGCCAAAAAAGCGGTCCAGCCAAAGAATTCAGAGCATTTTTCCCAACCCCTCCTACATTTGATGAGGCGAATGATTAATGAAGCACCAAATGGCTTCTTTATCTTCCAACCTGAATCTCGAGCCTCTCCTCCAAGACTTCGGCGCACTGTCAGCTTCTGCCGAGGCTCAATGAAGGGCAATATTGTAATCCATCGTAAGAGGTTGCATTAGATCCAATTAGGACTGCGAAATAGAGAGCAAGGAAACTAGCTTTGAAAGCTCAATTAAAGGAAATTCTTCTGGATTTCGATTCGATTGGCACGAAATTACTTATTATACTTTGTTGTCCAGTTTTCTGCTAAAGCGACAAGATCAAAAGCATCGATTTCTTCATATTTGGCAAATATACCAAAGTCTAGACCTAGATTATCTCCTGGATTTCAGATTTTTTTTTCTTTAAACTCTTTGCAAAGGTCTTGAATGATTTATCTGGAGCAGTCTGCAAAGCACCACTTGCTCTATTTAGCTTAACGATAATGGCTTAATAATTTGGTGCGTTGCCGCATGGACACCGCACTGAAATATTGCAACACTTTGGAAGGCTTTCTGGTCTTGCGAATGGCATTAGCCATTATTGGAAATTAGCCGAATTCACTTCAGCTCATTGTTCTATTGTGTTGCTCGCGCGATCGTTGGTGGCTTTTCCATCTGGCTTCCCGAGGCTGGCGGTGCACTTTTGGAGGCATTTGGGGGTGGACTGACGCATTGTGGCTCGGAATATTGGAGCGGAATCCATAAATTGACTCCGTTGCGCGGTAATTTATGACTCAAAGAAGAAAAATGCCCAACATTGAGTGCGCGCCGCAGTGATTCTGCAATGACCCGAGAAAATATTAACTGTAACTCCCAATAATTATTTATCCGGGCAATTATAATTCCATTTTGGCATTGCGATTAATATAGAGAATATATTATGTTTATTTGCACTGGACTTTTACCTCGATGTCGAATGATTTCGAGAAATTGCACCTCGATTCCATCGGATATGGCAAAGTTTTCCTAGTTTTTTGGACGGAAAAGAAATCACACGAGACAGTTTTCAGTGAAATTAGAAACGGCACAGATAAATTCTCCGAGATGGATCATTTGAGTGTTAAACGACGCATAAAATGTCATTAGATTGCCGTTTAATTATTTTATTGTGGAGTTAATTGTGTGGATCAGGAGTGAGCTATCAAGTGACACTCAAAGTCACTTCATTAGGGAATTTATCTTGGGCGTAAATCACGCAGTCTTGCATTTAGAAATTTTAGGAGGATCACGTTTCAGAGACGCACGTCCTCATACATAAATTATGCCCAGGCAAGCTCTCGCATCTCATATCCTATATAGGAATTCCACGAGAATTCGCTTGAATGTCACGCGACAAAGAACACACAATTAATAAATACTGCCCGGCAAATAAACTTCTGTGGATGGGATCAATAAAAAGTGTTTGTGTGTTCACTAAAATGCCGCACTAAATCATGCATTATTATTTTTATTCACCTCAACTTTTACTCCAGTGAGCGACCAATAAAAATCACTTCATGATTTTTAATTACACTTGTCTGATAAATTATTCAAAAGACAATTTACGGCAAATAATGATCGTTAAATTCTTACAATATTAAATTCTCATTGCGCAGTGAAGAATTCTCCAATTATAAGTTTTTTTTATTCAACTGGTTATAGTCGATATTTCTCCTTTTTATACGTGCGCAATCAATTTTTGATGGGCAAGGAGGACAAAAAGTACCGGATATTGTATTCCATTTGTGTTATCGGGTTTCTCGCCAAGCATTGCAGTCTTTCCTCTCTCTCTCTCTCACTTGAATTCCAATATGTAAATTCCAGAGCGTCTATTCGACCCTACGGGCGTCTTGTAGGTGAATCGATTGGACTTGAACTTGTCTTGCGCTGAATGAATTGGCAGAAAATCGCGGGCGAAATCTATCTCGCGAATTGCAAATGCGCAGGGTTAGAGACAATTAAATGCTGCCTGAATGGGCCTGTGGCATTCCATCGTGAGACGGGCAGTGAAGAGTTGTAAATTGATTTTGGCTGCGCCAGTGCCACACAAATTGATGTGCCCATATAAGATTCCCCTGCACTAATTGATCGCTTTCGCGAAAATGCACCGAGCGAGCCATCTTCTGCCGGCTTTCCGTGTGCGCGAACAAGTGTCAATAGTGCACCCGAGTCAACATCATTAGAGTTTGCAAGAATCACCAAAGAGCCGGTTGTTAATTGATTCACCACAGACGCGATCTCGTGGCGCGAGAGCGGTTTCCATCTCATCAGCGCATCGCGAGATGCAACCTGAATGCACCATTTGAGACTCTTGTTCGATCTTCTTTTCCTCCTATTTGCACCAAGAGGAGTCTCGCCAGGTGTTGGGCTGATTAATATTTCTCTAAAATTGCAGATATGATTGCGAAAATTATGGATTAGAAGCCATTTTAGACGGCGAAAAATGGTTCATTCTTTAAGTTAATCCGCAATTTGAGCCTCTTTTTGGCAGATAAAACTACGTTGAAAGTGTTTCAATCCCAAGACGAAACAAATTTCTTACTTAAATCATTTTACTCGCTATTTAGAATCTTCTCTCAGTGCTTGAATAAGAGAAAATTAAGGATGAAAGACAGCAATTTAGAGCGAAGCCACAAATTTCCCTCCGCACTGGCGAAAAAGCGATAAAGTACGTGGAAATATTGTCAGTTCAGCTGCGTGAGAATGCAGACGCTTTGGCATAACGATCATGAGTGTCACGCGAAAGAATGGACGCGAAGGCGGAATTGTCGTGAGGCGAAACTGTTGCAACATCCCGAGCAATTACCTGCGCAACCATAAATCTCCGATGCCCACGCATTTTCACCCAATTCTGATGGCTGTGCTTCTCTTGCAGTTCTGGGGCACCGACAAGGATCCCAACAGACTGGATCCAGCCATTTTTGAGGACCTCAACCGTTTCTACTGGAATCAGCAGGGCAGCAACATGGCCAGCACGCCGAATTCCATCACTAACACAGACGGACAAGTGAGTCTCTGGGTTGAAATCGTGATTTGCAAGTGCTTAACCAATGCTTCTGTGGCCCAGCAGATCTACACCTTAACAGTATTAAACAACTCGGAGTCGTGGCTGAAGAAGGAGCCCGCGCAGGACCCGGCAGCCGCGCAGCCGCTGGACCTGGACACCCTCCTCGGCAGCTTCCCGGGCTACATAAAGTCCGAGTACTCGTACGAGGACAGCGGCTTCGGCACCGAAAAGACAGACGATCTCCTCCTCCAGCAGCCCACGCAGCCATCGGTCTCTGGTGCAGTTACCGTGAATAGTACAAATGGGGGCAACAGCGTCGTGACGGCGGCCTTCCAGAACAACAACAACGACTGGCAGATGGCCGATCACAACAACACAGAACAGGTGAGATGTTATGCAAGTGAAACTAATAGATTTGCCAATGCATTTCTCTCCCTCTCGCGTGGCGAAATAATTAGATAGTTAAAGAGTTGGAAAGTTTACATGATGCACTGATGATTATCCCACTTTTGAATTCTTCGGTACATTTTGCAAGATTATCACTCTGGGATTCCTCAAATCATGTGAATTGTGATGACAATCATTGATAATTGGGTAAAACACCTTTCCCAGTCGCTGTCCGCGAACACATCCTCTAATCTAGCTAATTGGTCGGAAAAGCTTCTCAACACACTTGCTTTAGCTCTCATCGCGAGTTCCAGAGTTCAATGAATTTAGTGATGTTAAGTAGAAGATTGTTAGGATCGTCAGCAGCAACGCTCTGTCCAATCTTCGATTGACATATATTTCTAGCGACTTAATCACGTGAAGTTTGGTTGCTTCAAGTGTAATTTCTAAGCTCCTCCCACTACAAAGCTCCGCCCACTAACCGTCAATCTTCCAACGCCTTTGCAGGACTCGCCTGAATCCCTGCTGCGGAGTGCGCTGCAAGGGAAGGGATACGCTAAGGGACTGCAAGTCCAGAATGGCATTACAATCATCCAGGCTGGGAATGTGACAAAGAGTGACGAGGAGCTGAGGAGAGCGCTGTTCTCTCCCGATCAGGTAAGATTCCTCCCCAATTCTCTCCTCTGCACAGCCACTAATTGCGATACTTTTCCAGGAGGCGATCGGCTTTGCGGACTCCACGCTCGCCAATCCCTTGTTCGAGGACTCGGCCGTGAGCTCGCCGCAGCAAACGGGCCCCAGCTCGTCAGGTGGCCACGTGGTGGATGACATGTTCCTCACGCTAGACTCCGCCTTCACGGACGACTTCGAGAAGCTGAAGCGAATCGCGTCGGAGGTGCAGCAGTTCTGCACGACCACGGACAACTTCAGCGAGGTGATCATCGCCAGCAACACTGCCATGCCCGCGGGGGCGCAGAAAGGCGCGCGCACGGGCGTCGTGGAGGTGTCCACGACCAGCCAGGCGCCCGCCACCACCACCACGAGTCCCGCGAAGCCCGCGAAAAAGTACAAACGCCTCCCGAGCGGCTCCACGGCCAGCCTCAACGCCTCGAGTCCGCCGGCGTGCAACGGACAGCGCAAGGAGCGCTCGCTGCACTACTGCAACATCTGCTCCAAGGGCTTCAAGGACAAGTACTCTGTCAACGTGCACATCCGCACGCACACCGGCGAGAAGCCCTTCGCCTGCTCGCTATGCGGCAAGAGCTTCCGCCAGAAGGCCCACCTCGCCAAGCACTACCAGACGCACCTCGCGCAGAAGAACACCGGCGTCGTGAAGAACTCCAAGGCGGCCGCGGCCGCGGCGGCAGCCGCCGCGAACGGCGCCACCATCAGATAAGCCCCATCCCTGCCCCGCGGACAACTAGTGCATTTTCCAGGGCCGCCCAGGCGCCCCTGGGCGCCTCGCACCCGATGCATTTTAGCATGAATGAGATTCTACAAGGAACTTGGTGAAATTATTCCCGGCCACTCGCGACAGCCTCCAGCCGATCTCTCATCTGACGAGATTATCTCTGATCTTTTCTAGGTTTCAGAACATTTTAAAGAGCCACGAAAGAAGGACAAAGAAAACATTTTTTCAATGCTAACTCTAAACCTATTTTACAGATTTTGATCGCATCTCGGGAAATGAATTCTTATATTTTAGGGTTTCCCGACATATTTTCACTTCCTCTGCAGATATTAGAGATTTCATCGGAATTTATTTTACAGAATTTTAACGTAAGAATTGCGCTGGAGAAGCTCCAAAAGTTGGCCAAAAATGCATTTGAAAATTTATATTTTGCAACTCTAATTACCCCTAACAAATCGTTTGTAGGATGATGCAAAAGAAGTGCTGTGATCACTTAACACTGTCCAAGATGAAGAACATCACCTGTCCGCTCTTGCCATTTTTTTTTTGTTATCAACACTTAAAATATTCCCCTCAAGATTAAAGACAACTCCTTAGGTAATGACTTATATTCTTAATTTATGAACAAGACATCGATTGAGAGAGTGAATTTTTTTTTAGGTGAAAACATTATGTTGAAATGTGATGAAACAATTTCCCTCCAAAAAAAAACAACAAAAAACTGACAAAATCTCTTTCCACATTTCTTTGGGTTAAATTCCACGATTGCAATTTGTTTCTATTATTTTTGTTTCTTTAATTAAAACATGATAATGTGTCTCTCCGCGTTGCTGTAATTAATTTGGAAACAGCAACTTTTCCGACAAACCCAATTTCATTTCGAAGCAGGCAAACAAACACCGAGAGAGAGAGAGAGAACGAGTTAAGTAGTTATTGTATTATGTTTCCTCTAATTTTAAGACCATATTGTATTTGTGTAATTAAGATGAACATTTTTTTTCGCTATACAATTAATATATTTTGTGTTTACGACCTTTGAATATTCTACGTAGATTTACGTGTAAATTTCTCTCTTAAATAGTTATTTAATTCCACGAAAGAGAAAAGGAAAAAAAAACACCACTTGATTACCACTAGAAATAGAGGCATAATCACTTTGTCATTTTTATCATGTCTCCCCGAATTTTTCATTAGTTAATTTTCCCCCTTAGTTATTTTCATTTATAGAGCAATATCTTAGGTATGTTATTTTTTCTACTCCTCCACTTTGTGTGTAACTGAGAGAGAGATAAAGTGAAATCAGAAAATAAGAGATTATAAAATGTGTTTTTTTTTTAGATCTGGAAGAAATTCTCCACATATTGTAATATTTTTTTTGTTAAGCAATTGTTTGTTCTTCGCCTGTAAATTATTTTATTTTGTCAAAGTCGCAAATGTTGTACCTCCTGACTTTAATACTCCGTCTTTTCGAAATTATTTTTGATGTATTCTGTAATTTATGTGTCACTCTTAGAACAATTGTCCAAATGTTATGTTTTATTTTGTAAAAAAGAAATTGTATATCTATAGATTGTTAATCAAAATGACCGAATTTGATAAAAATGTGTTATGAAATGATGTCGAATAGGAACTGTTTGTCGAAAATCTGTGTCTCATGATAGATTAAAAGTATTTTCGCGCCTGTTTTTCACAAGCAAATAAAGATTCGAATTCGTGACGAAATATCCAGAAATCAATTTCATGAAATCGACATCGAAGAATCTTGACACGTTCTTAGAAACCCAACAGTTGAAAAGCCATCAAATGCTTGGCATTCTCTCACGTGAATCTCTCTTCACCACAAAAGTACTTATTAAATGAAATGTTATTAATTTATTTATCGGAAAAAGTTGCCAATATATTTTATATATCATTTGTGTAATATTAGCGTTTTTTTTTTATTGTAAAGTTGAACCCCTATTTTTAAGCATTTTATTACCCGAATATTTTTTATTTGAATTTGATATTGAACAAAATAAAAAGTTCCCCCAATGCAACAAAATGCGCCTTCTTTTCCCCTGTTCAGATGCCCCTCTTCACTGGCTTCGGCGCGAACATGATCTTCACGGACTTGCACAGCTCCAGCTCCGTTCCCGGACGCACTGACAGACAGACGAAGATCTCCACTTGCGTGGCTTCTGTCCACACTCCATGACTCAGTAGAATTGTCGTCCGCAGCCGCCAGTTGTTCACCTCCTCGCCGCTTTCCGTGAGGATCCGCTTGACGTCCCGCAGGCGCGGCACGACAGTGTGTACGTTCTGGTCGGGATACTTGACTCTAATCCTGAGATCCTGGCGCTGGAACTCCTGCAGATTCTCGATGTCCGCCACGAGAGGCACCGCGGCGATCAATCCCGCCGTGACTTTCACTTGGTTCTCCGCCGAGGCCGCGTTGCAGGGCTCCAGAATGCGCGCCGTGCACATCCGGATGTCCACATTCACGCGTGGCGTGACGACGGGCGTCGCCGACTGCACAATCGGGAGGATTTCCCAGAAAACTCGGCCAGGCTTGGGATCACTGATCGCCGCCAGCGCTTGCAGAATTGAACTGGTGAACTTGTCAGCCACAATCTCCGGATTGTCCTGGAGAAACACACTGATGTCCGCCGCGATGTGCAGCAGGAGTTGACACGGCGCCAGAGCCGATTGGGAGCGATCCTTCACGACAATCACGAGGTGCAGAGCACTGGCGCGCAGGCAGATCTGCTTCACGAGCAGCCAGTCGTCCTTCGTGAGGTTGGAGAAGAGGTTCTGCAGCTTCAAGCACTTCTTCATCAGCAAATTCAGAGACTCTCGCGATGGCGTCTTGTTCTGCTTCGGCGCTATGCAGCTCTGCAGCTGGTGGATCAGCAGCTGGGCGCCCAGGAACATGGCCGTGAAGTTCGCAGTGCCCGAGAGGGCGGGATCAATCTCCGCCAGACGATCCAGATTCGCCTGGGCGGCTTCCAGAAGAGCCTGACGCGCGCGCGGCGCCGAGTAAGCAGCATCGATGTTGTTCAGGAGCGTCTCCAGGAACTGCTTGGATCCCGTGGCGCCCGTGAGCTGTGTCTGGTCCACAACAGTCCTCAGGTTCAAGTGGGGCACGAAGTTGGGCATGGTGTCTCTGAGATAGCCGTAGTGGCGCACGGTGGTGTCCGGGAAGAGGGACAGCATCGGCGGACGATGCTGAGCGGCGTTGAAGAGCATCACGAGAATGCAAACGTAAGCCGGATCCTCAACGTCTCGCTCGGCGCTGTCGAAGAATGGATGATCCTGGAGGAGTTGCGGCGTGAGCGCCATGCAGAGATCGGGATGCTTCTGGCCCACGCGCTGGAGACAACCGAAGGCGGACTCCTTGTCTTGCGGGTACTTCGAGAGCACGTCCAGCACTTTCTGCACGACCAGCTTCAGGCAGGCTTGAGTGGACACTTTGCAAGCGCCCAGCATGAGATGCAGACCTTCCCGGACCTCCACTGAATAGTCCTCGAGACTGCTCAGCATCGTTTCCAGCTGATCCTCGCGCAATGTGATGTGCTTGCTGATCATCGTGAGGCTGTAGATCGCCTTCAGGCGCACACTCTCGATCTCGTCATTGAACATGTCCACGAGGAAGTCCAGCGAAGTCGTGGCGAAGGGCGGATGAATCAGCGCCAAACGACACATTGAATCCACCGAAGCTGTGCGCACTTCCAAGAATTCATCCTCCAGGCCGTGCACGAGAGCGCCGCACGCCCCGGAAGCTATGAGAGAGATCGAGGCGGCGTTCAGGAACTCCTTGGGGGCGTCGTCGGCCCACTTCTTCCCGGACGACCACTCGCCACTCGTGAAGTTCTCGAGATTGCGCTCGTGGAGGCTCTTCTTCCGCCTCAGGTTGCTCATCAGCTTCTTGTCCAGCGTCTGATTGAGAAACTCACTGCCCACGGCCGACATGCCGCCCAGCAGTTCTCCCGCCTGCGTTCTGACTTGCATCGACAGATCGCACATGGCGGAGCAGACCTTGCCGAAGGCCGCGTCCACGAGTCTCATCTCCATGTCCGAGTCCGGCACGAGAAGCATGTGCTCCGGATGGCGAACGCCGAGCTCGTACACCAGCTGCAGAGCCTCCTTCCGCACGCACTCGTAATCGTCGCGCAGCGCGTCCGTGGCGCGAGGATAGAGCTTCGGCGTGAGATTGACTCCTCTGCAGCCCAGGGTGAGAATCGAGCGGAATGCCTGCGCCCTGACCCGCGAATCCTGCGAGTCTGTGTACCTCCCAATCAAGTCCACCGTCGACTCCACCGATTCCTCCTCCACCGACGCGAAGGCGCCCAGGAGCAGAAGAGCGTGTCTCTGGACATTGTGACTCTGCGACACGAGACTGTTCTTCGCCGACAGCACGACTTTTGCCACGTGCGTCGGCGGCAGAGACTGACTAATGCCGATCTTGTGAAGACTGTGCAGCCCCTGGCAAATCACCTTCGGCGAGGATTCGCTCTTCAGCAGAGTCAGCACTTCGTCGGCCAGCAGCGCTCCGTCGTAGCACGTCTCGCCGGCGAAATCCCCGAGCAGGGCCAGAATCTTCACCCTCACGGCGGACTCCTGCTCCCGCTTAAAGTGCTCGGACAGCTTCCGGATGGCCTCGGCCATCTCGGGCTCCTCAAATTGCAGTCCGTCTGAGATCTTGATGAGCAGCTGCAGAGCCTCATTGCTGTTGGCCGCGCTCTCGAGCAATCCCGTGAATGTTGTGATGGAAGTGGAGACGGTGGGCTTCTTCACGATTAGCCTCAGCCTCTTCTGGGCCCGATTCCGGGAGATTTCCTGGAGAGAAAACAATCCAAAACATCAATAGAGATTCGTAACCCCAACCCAGACTTTAGTCTCGAAAAACACTCACTTGAATCGTTTGGTAGATCTCCGAAGAGGATCTCTTGTAAGCCGTGGTCGCCATCGTCACGCTAAACAGTTCAGAAGCAGTATTTCCACACGAATTCCGCTACAATGCACACATTTGTTATCACAAAAATAGCCAGTTTCTTCCCGGCCGTCATTTCCCGACACCAAACTGAAGTTTGTATTTCCGCGATGTTAACATCTTGTACAAAAAGTGGTCGAAAATGATCGAAATTCACGCTTTGACATTTTGAGAACGCAAAAAGGGTAAGCAGAGGTAAATATGAGGCGTGTGAAGCGCATTTCAAAAACTAGCATTCCTAGAGTGGATAAAATAGCTAAAAAGGACGATTGTCAACACCTTAAGGAAGCCCAGATTGATTTCGTGGATTGTGACATCGTGAAAGAGGAGTACGAGATTCAAGACCTCCAAGACGCTCCAGCGGAGTATGATTGTGACCTTTCCATGTTTTCCCGTGTGCTGAAGTTTGTTGTTTTTCCAGGAAATTCGTCCTCAAGCGAAGCTTTGTGCCGGAGAGAATGAAGGAAAGAGCTGCAAAGAAGCCGACGGAGGAGCTGCGCAAGGTTTCGCGCACCGTTGAGAGATATTTTAAGTGTGCTCACTGTGCGAAGCAATTCCTCAGCAAGAATGTCCTGTTCCAGCACATGCAGGAGCACCTGCAGGAGAAGAACCAGGAGGGAAACCAGGAGAAGCCGTGTGCGGCCACAAGGCGTAACCAGACGAACTCGTGAAATCTTGGATGTTAGATTGAATCTATCTTTTCGCAGTGCTCGAGTTGATGCTGAAGCAGCAGCGAGAAATCATGGATTCACTGAAAGAGACGAAAAGCACCCAAATGGAGATCATGAAATCCTTGCAACAGATTAATCAGCAGCAAAAGCAGACCCGCGAATCACTCTCACGTAATTATTTCGACACACACGTGATGAGCGAGTATCAAAATAACCACTGTTTTGTTTGTTTTGCTTCCTTCAGAAATACAAAGCAAGCTCGTTGGATCAATAAGGATAGGAACTCCCGATCCGCAAGAGTGCTACTTCCCGATTTGCAATCTGGAGGAGTACGAGCACGCAAAGATGGAATATGAGACAAATGCCGAGACTGCGAACGCAATGGTATTTATCTCACGCACAGTATTGAATGTGGATTATTATTGTGCTCTAATTGTGGCATTTCTGGTTTTGCAGAGAGCCTACATGTCAAAAACCACCAAGAACAGCGGGAATTGGCTGGTCAGAATCTTTCAGGAGGATTTTCTGGTGAATAACTTCAATATAATCGGAGTCAATGGTAAAATGAGCCTGAAGCAGGACGAATTCGTCAAATATTGCAGCAGTGAGTTGATTCAAAATATCTTTCATGTCCTTTCCAAAGCAAAAACTTTTAATTCGTCTTCTAGTGCACGTGAAGAGTGGCAACGATATGAGTACGCATTTTACCAAAGTCAGGAACAAATTAATGAAGCGAACAACTCGTGATAAGAAGCTGCAACTTATTGAAGAATCGTTGCTAGCAGCTGAACAAGAACAAAATGAGGAAAACTCCAACTCTTCTGATGATGATTCGCCAGAGAGTCCGCCAGCGAGTCGTCCAGGGTCTCCGGAATTCGTTTCTTTTTGAGCTTTCGCGCTCTTTTTCTTGAGTTTAAGGTTTTCTTGAGTTAGTTTATCATTTATTCTTTAGCTGTTTACGTTGAATTGACATTGAAGTTAAACAATTTGATTCAGAAAAAGAAGCACAAGATGAAATGTATAAAATAAAAGAATTTTTATAGAAAATACTCTTGACTTTGTTGCATTTCCAAAAGCGATTGTAGACAAAGAGCGGAGTTGTGATGTGAAATTCCTGCGGAAGTGTCTTATTCTAACGTGGAACAGAATTCCCCTCTTTCGACGAGTTTTCCTCCCACTCAATTCGCGACGTCTTGACGTTTTGTGGACACGCAAAAACAGAAGAGAAAGCATAGAGATTTTGGAATTTCTACGTGGAAAACGTAGAGAAAATCAGTGAAAATTGCCTCAAACTCTCTTCGGCCTTCGCTTCATATCACGTCAGCGCGGAGGAGCGCTGAAATTCCAGTATTCATCGAATTGTGCGTCCCCGAGGGAAGTCCCACTAAGTGCCTCCTGGTCAGCTTCCGCTGCTCCTGCCCGGACTAGTTGAGAAGCCATGGACGTGAACATTGACATGAGCGACAAGGTGAGCGGAAATATGGCTCCGCCACCGCAGTCAGAGCAGAAGAATCTCTTCTCTTCGTGAGTTTCCGGGTGTTTCGTCATCTTTGCCATCAAGCGCTAACTCTCGTGTCTTCCGGACAGGGTCTTCAACCGGAGCCGCGTGCCCAACATTGCCGAGTTGCTGCGCGAGGTGCGACAGAACATCAGGCCGTGGTCTGAGTTCCTGAACATGAGCAACTTCAAGACGGTGGCGAACATTCAGCGCCTGTCCGGACGTCTGGTGAGGAACTTGGCGTACTTCCAGAGCAACTACCTGTTCGTGTTTCTCGGTCTGGTTCTCTACTGTCTGCTCACCTCGCCGCTGATCCTCATTGTCCTGGGCGGCGTGTTCTACGCGTGCTACAAAGTGCGACAGCTTAACACGAAGATCACGATTCTGCAGAGGGAGCTGAATGCCGGCCAGCAATGCATCCTCATCAATTGCGCCGCGATTCCCATTCTGTACCTCGCCGGCGCCGGGGCGGCGATGTTCTGGGTGCTGGGCGCGTCCTTCTTCGTAATCTCGCTGCACGCCGTCTTCTACAACATCGACGCCGTGGTCACGGAGGACACGGAAACCTTCCTGGCGGAAACCGTGTGAGCGTCAAAGGCGCTTCTGTACATACGACGATATCACAAAGAGAGGAACAATGTTTATTTAGATAATTTATTGCCTTTGCTACAATTCCGCCCAATTTACAACTTCCACATAAGGTTGCCGTCCTTCTCCTTGTTGTATCCCTTGGCGTAGATCATGCCAGGCGTCTGGAAGAGAGAAAGAGGAGTTCATGAGTTCCCGCCCTGGCGCACTGGATCTCACACACTCACCTCGTTCTGCAGCAGGCGCAGCGCGTCCGCGTCTTCGGCGTTGACGAGGAGCTCCGGCACGTCCGTCCGGGGCACGTTGAAGAGCGCCTCGAGGATGTGCCGCTGGACGCTGTAGCCCATCCTCACCTCGTTCCAGTCCCACTCCAGCTGCAGCCGCCAGTCCTTCATCTTCGGGTCGTGCTGGTCGAAGCGGTCGAAGTCGATCCGCTCGATGTCCTCGGCCACCACCTCCGTCTCGCCGCCCTCGTTCCAGTCGTACACCAGCAGCTCGGCGTGCATGCTGATGTCCTTGAGGTACAGCTGCTTGTAGAACGACTCCATGTCGCGCAGATACTGATCCGTGAGCGCCGGCGCGTTCTGCTCGTGCGCGTGGCCGCGCTTCTGGATGTTCTTCTTCGTCTGCTCCACCGACACGTCCAGGTAGATCACCAGGTGCGGCTGCATCAGCTCACCGATGGTGTTCTTGCGCACGTCATAGTACACAGAACGCGCGCCGCGCGACACGTAGTTGTTCTTGGCCATCGCCTCGATGAACACCATGTCGGAGTACACGCAGCGGTCCAGCACGACGCCCTGGCCGGTGTTCAGCACGTGCTGCAGCGCCTCCACGTACTGCCAGAAGCGGATGTAGTACATGTCGATTTGGTAGCCGGCGGTGTTGAGGTGCTTCGGCGTCTGGCAGAACTTCTTCTCGTCGTACGACTGGACGCTCAGCGGCAGCTTGTCGTCCAGCGAGCGGAAGTCCTGGCCGTAGGGGTTTATCAGCAGAGCGTCTATGTGCGCCGCCGGTATGTAGTGCATCTCCAGCTCGTCCGCCAGCTCCTTCGCGAACTTGCTCTTCCCGGCCGCCAACGGTCCCTCCACCACAATGATCTGCAAGGGAGCGAGAGAGTCAGCGCCTGGCAACTCCGCCGCCACCGGCGATTACCTTCGAGTTGTCGTCGAGACGCTTGGTGGTGTGGTCGAAGAGCGCCTGGAAGAAGCCGTAGCGCTTCGTTTTGTACGGATAAGGGGGTGGTTTCACCAGCTTCTGCGACCCTCTGATCGTCTTGCCGGAAATGCCACACTTCTGCTGCACACACGGCACGGCCGCCGGCCTCGCGGCGCTCGGGAGGAAGCGCCCAACACTAATTCGCAGTACTCCTGCCATTTCCTGTACGGACACCCAGAGAAAAGCAAATTTTCACTCTATTTTGATTACATCACATAACCTAGAAAACATGAATGCATCTATTTTTCTCCTTTTTCGCGGAAATCTTCCAATATTTCAGCTAAAATTGATGATAGGTGATTTGATTGTGAGTTGGAAAGAGTCTTTGGGTGGAAAATCAGGAGAAAAATGGGAGAAATGTGAAGAAAAACATTACTTCTCACAGATTTTGACACAGCACTGAGAGAAACCGAATATCGGAACCCAAAAGGAAGACTTCCAGAGACATCTAGCGAATATTTAGTCACAGCAGGTACTGAAGAGTGTACTGGCTATTGGCGCGGGAAAATCAAGTTGCACCGGTTTTGATTTCCTAATACAATTTTGGAAGATAAAGAGCTTAATTTATGCATTGTGAGAATTTTACAGATAAATTGATTCTCAACATTATTCTAAAGATTCTAAAATAGGTCTTTAAACCCCAGACTCGAACCTGTTATAACTGTGTAGATGAGATAAATTGCTGACAGCGCCTCTCTTTAGAGAACAGCTCAAGCTGTGCTATAAAAATTAAATTTACCTAGTTCAAAACTGTTTTCCTTGTTTTACTTATTCTTGAAGCCAATTTTACATAAAATTCTTCAGAAAATCAGGAGTTTTGAAGCCATTATCGTCAACTGCTGAAGCGAAAATGAATTCGGGAAAGCGGTGAGTTTAAATGGAAAGTCCGATGAATTATTTCTCATACAGTTAATTTTATTTAGGTTTAGAAATCTTAATGAAGACGATAATATGTATTTCTTCAAATTTTAAATTTAATTGTAATTATTTCATATGATATGATAATAAATATTTACATTTTCATCACTTAATTTGTTATTAATAGTATTTATACTTTGTTTATAATTATTTATATTTTATGATTTTTTTTCTTTTACTTTCTCATTTCAGTTAAATTAAAAAGTACGCAATGATCCATTTTTCTTACTTCCATCTCTCTCTCTCTCTTTATCCATTCTTTGTAAAGTAAATAACATTTTTATTCTACGCGATAAATCTAATAATGAAAATTTCACTGTTTCTCTTTTCCTCACTCTCAGCATTGGTTTCTTTTGCTTCTTTCCTAGAAAAAACTTAGAACATTTGTAAAAATCTTGTGTAAAATGAACTTTAGGAAAAAAGTGGGCTTCTCAAAGCCACTTATTGCAATTCAAAATTTGTTTTGAACTTAAATTAATGATGAAATTTACAAATTTTCTTTACCATTCTCTTGCTCTATAATGAGCATTTAACCATACTTTATTTTCTATGCTCTATTTTACACTTTGAATAAATTTCATCTGCTGTATTCTTACGTATTTTCTTGCTGTGTTTCTGCATTCGTTTCTTTTTTTTTGCTTTTAACCAAAAGAGTCCTTCTAAAATTAGTTTATACACAAATTTTTCATTAACATAATTTCTCTTATTTCACATTCTTCTTTTAAAATTGTACAAAAATTGAGAAAAAATATTACAAATTGCAACAATTATCAGTAACAATTAATAATGAATTAAATAAAATTGCTGTAAAATATAAAAGGAAATTCTGGAAAACAATTTGTGGCTGTTGAAATTTCCGTCCTTATCGCAGATTTCTATCGCTCTTCCATCAACTTTAACTTGTATTTTCTTCGATATATTTTTATTACACTATTTTCTGTTAATTTATTTCAATCTCCTCAAACTATTTTTAAAAGCTTTCTGCTCAATCTTAATGCAAGGATTTCGGTTCCTTTTTCTCACTTTAGTTTTCTTTAATGTATTCTTTAATGACTTTGCTCTTTAGCGTGAAGATTTTTTTTATAACCATTTTTTAGCATTTGGATAAAATTAGTTGATTTTCTCTATATATTTTTTTTTCATTTCTTAATAAATTAATTGATTCTGATCGCCTTCTTCTGGGGGGGGGAAAACTTGTTATTTTTGTGGGTGGAATTTTTCAAAAGTGTTCTTTTTGTTGTTTTGAAATTGGAGAATATTTTCTGTGTGATTGTTAAGTTTTTCTTGATCTTGAATAATGACTAACTTCAGTATTAACTCATATCTAATATAAGAATTGTTTTACTGGATTTTTACCTCCATTTAAGTGTAAATTCTATTCTTTCTCCACTTTTTGGGATATCATAATAAAATTTCAAGGGTTTCGATATGCGTGGGGGTTGTTATTCTGCTGTTGATTCACCTCTTCTGACCTTCTTCACCGCCTTGACTTGCTCTTGCGAATGAGTTCATCTCCTCTCGGATATTAATCTACAGTAAAGTTTCTTCTTCTAGGTATTTTTTTTTCTTCTTATGAGTTGTTTTTTTTTCTCCTTAATGCTCAACTAATGATGCTCTCTTCTCCATCCACAAATCGCTAGCACTTCTTTTTATACACTTAGAAACTACATTTGTTTGATTAATATTTAATTCAATCTGCTTGCTCTACACTTGAATTTCTTATGCTCCTACCAAATCGCTCGTCTACGCCTAACATTCTCATGCTTTTCACTTTTATTTGGTTACAATATTTTGAGATCTAAATAATATTTTAAATATTATTTTGATTTATTAAGATTTACTTGTTCTTCACACTAACTTTAGATCTTTTTTTCGTCTTCTTCTTCTTATAATCTTCAGCAATGATTGAAAGGTGGAGGAAATTATTCTTCATCTATTTAAATTATAATTCATTTTTTTTTACAGCTACATAATTTTTTGGTATCCTTTTCTCAGTGTTTCTTCTTTTTTCTTCTCTACCATTTCTCATCCACTGTTTTTTTTCTTTTCTTTTTAATTTTGCAATATTCTACTCTACAATGAAATTATTCACTACATCTTAATGCATTTCTCTGCTGATTTCTCGCCTCTCTCTTGTCTCAAACTTCTCAACCTCGGGGGATTATTTAGTATTTCTCCTTCTCCTCTTGTTCCAGCTATTTTGGCAATATGTTTAGATTTTCTCTCTCAGCCTAACGCTTACTTTGTTATCATTTACAGTTGATTCTATTTTGATTGAAATTTTCTCCATACCGCCTAAAATTATCCTCACCTAAACACTATATAAAGTCGTCTCAATTAAAATGGAATGGGAGGTGAATTTAAAGATAGACAAACACGAAAAGAGTGTGTTTCTGTGCTCGAAGAGTCTCAATTAAGATTACAATTGAACAATTGCATGCTGAAATCTAGCGTGTATTTATACATTGTAATAAAATGTACACTGTTTTGTATCGCTTTTTACGTCTCTTGAAAAAATATTGGTAACAGTCTTATTCATTATCTCATCCGCCTTCCGTGTCTACATAAAAATGTTTTTCATGCCCTTAAAGTTTTTGGGAAACATAATGAAAAAAAAATAATATTTCAACAAAGAACCTTTGCAGCTAATTCGTTTTCTCTTTCTCTCCTTTTTTTTTAAATCAATCACAATAGAACTCTCAATGGTTATCCGCGCACATTTCTAATCTACGAAGATGATTGGGATTTCTCTCTCCACGCAAATTGCACTGAACTTTCTCTTAAAGGAAAAAATCGTTGTTCTCACTCTGCTTAGTACTCCCAGCGGTCGCTCTCGTCGTCGAGCTCCTTCTTGATCGGCGACGCCGCTTCGGACTTCACTGCCGCCTCCGACGCTCCGTTGTCATGGTCGTCCGTGGAGTCGGGCGACGCGACCGCCGGATGCTCGGAAGACGCCTTCTCGGACACGGCGGGACTGGCGCGCGCCTCGTCCTCGCCCTCGGCCTCCGGCTCCTCGTCCTCGGCCTCCTCGAAGCGCTCCGCGACGGCCTGCGGCTCGATGCGGACGGTCTCCTCGCCGGCCGCGCGGCTGTAGTCCGCCGCCTGTTGCATCACGCACACGCCATTGATGATCACCTCCTCTTCGCGCGGCCCGCCCGCCGCCGGCGGCTTCTTGTCGTCCTGCCAGTCCGGATTCACCCACTGCGGCGCGGCGGGTTTCCTCCTGGACGAGCGGGCGCTGGACGCCTGCACGGCCACCGGCGTCTCCTTCGTCTCAGACTTCACCTCATCGATGGAGTCCGCGTCCGACACGTGGCTATCCGCCTCGCCGTCGACATCGTCGAAGTCGTCGTCGCCCTCGCGCTTCAGCGACAGATCCAGTCCGCTCATTTGCTCCTTGAAAGCGCTATTCAGGGCACTCAGATCCGCCTCTCCGGCGCCCGGCAGCAGTCCTCGGCTGATGAGAGCCGCCAGATTGGGATTCGTGGCAAAGTACGGCGTGTACTGCAGAGGAACGCCGCTGAGTCCCATTCGCTCCTTCTGCAGCTCCATCAGGCGCTGGTTCAGCAGGATGCGGAAGTGCACCGGGTCGAAGGGTGCGCCCGATTGGCTCTCCCTGGGCGGCACGGGGGGCTCACTGGGCGCCCCGTGCGGCACCTGCTGCTTGAGCCGCATGCGATGGTTGTGGAACCAATTGGTGATGGTCCTCGTGGACAAGCCCAGCTCAGTGGCCAGGAACTCAATGGTGGCGACGTTCGGATACGGATCCAGTGCAAATGCCAGTCGGAGCGCCTCCTTCTGCTCCTCAGAGAACAGCACGCGCTGCTTCTTGCTCGGCGGCGCCCCGACGGAGCCCACAGATCCCGGCCCGGGCGAGTTAGAGTGATAGAACTCCGACGTGTCATTGCTGCTGGTGTCTGAGCTGTTGTCCTGCGCGCCAGGACCAGTCGATCGGCGTCTCTTGTTCGCCTCGCGGCGCTCGTTCTTCAGTGCCTGAAGCCGATCGACGTTGTTGGCGTCCGACAGCCACAATTGCATCCGGATGAAGGGCTCGCGCCCTTTGATGCTGAGCATGTGCCAAGGCTTGGGCTTGGACAGCAACTCGGACACGGAGCCCTGAGACAGACCAAGCACAGCTTCGCCGAAGATCTGCAAGGAATTCTGAATTAAAAAAAACGCTTCATTGCTGAAGTCTTGCGTCTTCCTTACCTTCTGCCCAATGTTGTTGGCCAGCAGGGCCTCCTTGATCTTCGTGGTGATGACCTGCGTATCCAGGTCCTGCGTGAGTGCGGCCATCTCGTACACCGTCGGCGACATGTGCTGGTGCATTCCTCGCATGGCGTTGTTCTGCTGCGGCGAGTGCACCGGCATCGGCATCTGCTTCTTCTCCTGGGCCGCAGCCGCGGCCGCTGCGGCGGCCTGGGCAGCGGCCAGAGGGATGGCGTGGTGGGGCGGGAGGCCGGGTGGCGTGAGGAGCATGCCCTGGGGCGCAGATGTGGGCGGTTGCTGCGCGGACTGCGACAGTGGCGAGCCCTGCTGCATCTGCTGCATTAAGTGCTGCTGGTCCTGCTGCATCTTCGTGATCTGCTCGTTGAGGAGCTTCGGCATGTGCGGCATCTTGCCGCCGGCCATCGTGGGCGGCATCTGCGGGGAGCCGCTGTAACTTCCGGTGCGCATCAGCTTCTCGGGGGCGATCTTGTACTGACTGGCCACGAGCTTGTGCACAGCGTTCTCGTCCTCGAGGAACATCTTCATGCGGATGAAGGGCTCGCGTCCCTTCTGGGTCAGCATGTGCCAGGGCTTTGGTCTGGCCAGAAGATCGCTCACGCTGCCCTGCGACAGGCCCAGCACGGACTCGCCGAAGAGGCGCTGGCTGATGGAGTACTGCGACAGCGCTTCCTTCACGCGGCGCACGATGTCCTCCGTGTTGAGATTGTTGAACATGTCGAATTGCTGCTGCGTGATGGGCGGCAGGACGGCCTTCAGCGGCCGCTGGGGCGTCGAGTGGTGCGGCGTGACTGGCGGCTGCGTGATCAGGCTATTCGTGATCGATGCCATGCGCTGCAGAGGACTCGCGGCGGCCGAGAAGTCCTCCGTGGGCGTGATGGCGGGCGGCAGGATGGAGTTGCCCAGCGGACTCGGGGCCGACGAGGCGGTGGTGGTGGGCGTCGATGCAGACTCCTGCTTTGGTCGCACCAGACTAAATGCACTGCCCGAGTGACGGGCATCGTCTGAATCCTTGTCGTGCCCCGCCTCACTGGACTGCTGCCCATTCATCTTCAGCTGCTTCTCCTTCGGCAGGCTGAGATCCTGGGCGCCGTTCAGCGCGTGCTGCTGCAGCGCCAGCAGGCTGGGCAGATTAGGGATGTTGGGGAAGTTGGGCAGATTGGCGCCGCTCTGCTGGAGCTTCACCAGCTCGCGCTGGTATGCCTCGAACGTCATCCGCAGACTCTCGTCCTGGATTTGGCTCATCGGCGGCATGCCACCGCTGAAAAAGTGCGGGAAGAGAAAACTAAATGAGGTTGTGCAGCTGCTCAAAATCAGGAGAGGACGTCGTGGCGTCGGTCTAGGGATCAAGGAGGAGAAGTAGTACCTGGAGAAGCCATCCCTGGGAGCCACTTTCATGAGCTTCGACAGCTCTTCGTGGTAGATCCTGGCCACCTTCTCTTGCGGGATGTCGTCGTTCTCGTACTTCTTGAGACGACGGTTCTGGGATGAGTCCTTGGAGAAGGGCGACGTGCACTGATTGTGCGGCGACTTGGAGTCCTCGTTGCTGTGCGTGTCCTCCTGGTGGCCCATCGAGGACTGGCTCATCGGCGGCTGCTGGCCAGGCGTCTTCATCAGGTTGGACGCCTCGCTGAGGATGTGCGCTATCCGCTCGTCCGTCATGCTGTCCTCCGGCCGGCCGTACGGTGGCATTGCTGAGTCTTTTCCTGCAATTAGTGAATATCCGTCAAACAAACATAGACGCGGGACAAGGGGTGTCAGCGTGGGGGTGCGAGCTCTGAGGCTGGCCACTTACTTCTAAATTCAATGGGGAATGGAGGATGTGGTGGAAGATCTGATTGGTGAGCGTCTGCATGTGTCGTCTGGGGTGCTACAATCAAAGACAGGTAACACTCAATTGATATGTGATCAAACATTACGACATCTAAGGTGGGATTGCTGGGCTCTCTAATGGCGTCATCATGGCGCCTCAACGGACAGCCAATTCAAAACTTCAATCACTCATGCTGACCCACATTGTGAGGTCAGTTCTCGGCCTAGGACGTCACGAGTGGCGGTGAAATTCATATCAACCTTCTGATTTATAGCCGCATTTATGCTCATTTATCGGTTTGAGTTGTTTGCATGCAAAAATCCATCGGCACAGCGAATGATTTCCAAGTGGAAATTAATTCTGAAGAACTTACCAAGAATTGTGAGCTCGGGGAGGCTCTTGTATTTATGTCAAATGGATGCATTTCTTGGGGAATCGATAAAGCGCCGCTTGCAACTTTTCAATTTTCACCCTCTCTCCGTTGGAATATGCGGCGAAGGGGCCGCCAAAGACAAAATCCACGATGAAATAATTTCGCTAGCATTTCACGGGGCAACTTTATTGAGTTGAACTTTCAAACGCGACAGGAAATAGCAATGAGGGGGCCGCGCAGTTGGGGCGAAGATGGCCCGATGGGGAGTGCTTTTTTATTAATGGGAATAATTACATCACGATTTCTCACAACGAGGTCACGACACACGGAAAGTCCGCTTATTTGAACTTCTCTCAAATGGCAAAATCTCTCTCACTCTCGTCCTCAATGCAAATCCTCACACACACGGTGCATTTTCCATGAGACATCCAGAAGCGCGCCGTGAGAGGGACAAAAAAATGAGCGTGCACTCGAGATTCTATTTTGGGGCACTTTTAACGATTCATGAAATCTCGGGCGGATGGAAATTGTAGAAAGGAAACATCAATGAGTGTTTGATGATCACTTCATCAAACGAAATATCTGATTCTAATAGCGCTTAAGTGCGCAATTTGCTTCTGATCGCCTCAATTGACACTCCATTAACTCCTCTCCTCGTTTACGGCCTGTCAGCGCGATCGGCCCGGGATAGACAATCTCTCAATTGCTCCCCAAACTCCCACTCAGCGCGCTGATCTTCACGCTTCACTTTTCCCGCCAAAGAGACCCTTTTTCTCTGCGCCAAGCCAGTGGAAATTGGGGACACAAACACAACCAAATTGCCTTCAATAGTTAATTATTATCCACAGAAGTATATAAATCGGAAATAACGCAAGAGAATCTCACACCCAGAGCAAGAACCATTAAACGCGAGTCTCGTGGTATTAAAATATTTTATATAATGCGGCATGCTTGAATTGAGGACAATAAATTATGGTATTGTAATGAAATAAGGAATCGATTAAATAGCAGGGTGAATAAATTATGATGGTGGCTTTTTTCTGCGCTCTCATATGCAAATTTCCACTCTCTCGCTCTCTCTCATTTTGTTCTCTTGTGAAAATTAAGAAATAAATTTTCCTTCGCGATTCTTCTCCCGCCACCATTTCTCATGTTAATTTAATTGTGAAGCGATTTTTTCTTGCTCCTCTCGTTCTTATTGTCCAAAATGGGTGGGAAAAAAATTACCCCATCGCCGCCAAAAAGAAAGGGCAATTGAGACAGCGCGCGGGGTGTGAGACACCCACTGTTGGGGGTTTAAATAGTGGTGATCGATTTGTAACTGATAAAGGTTGAAAGTTTGTGGTTTTTGGGGGTGGTTTTGGTGGGTTGATTGCATGCAAATCGGCCGCTTAGCACGCGATTCTGTGGATTCTATCAATTAAACATTGTTACATGGTGTATAAATTTTAACTCTTTTTCGCTCTCTCTTTTTCGGCGCTCCTCCGCGGCTCATCCATCTCGCCAATTTGGGGCTGCGCCCCCAACCATGGGCGCAGCCAAGGGATGTTTAGCATGCAATTGCCCCACAACTAGCACACATATTAATTGCAATAAACAATTGAGACTCTTCCCTTCTGCCGCGGTCGCACATGCTTTTTCGGCGAGAGTGGAAAAATTCCCAAAAGGGCTGTGCATTGTTAATTATGGGGCACAAAGCGAGGCGATAAGAAGTCTTGGAGCTGTGGTTGAATGATTAGATAGACTGGAGAAAGCCTAGAGCCGTAAATATAGGAATGAAGCAGTGGATCCGGACATTGTTCGAGAGTCAGTTAAAGCAATCTTACGATATGATTGGAATTATGAGGACGTTTAAGGCTTCAAGTACATTGAATAAACGGTCAGAAAACCGCGTGAAGACGAGGAAATTACACGCAAAACATAGTCTATAGAACTGAATTCATTTAGCCCTTCCCGGCTGAACTAAACATCCCCTCGAAAAAGGAGGGCTTTCCGTGGCACCAGCGGCAAAAAAGCGGAAAGTTTGAAAAGAATGGTGCCAAGAGAGGAAAACTGATAAGGACTCGAACCGTGCTTCCCTCCGTGTCTGGCTCTTTTTGCCATTGAGAATGTTGTACCCATTAGTGGGCAATTTTTGTTGCATTTAGCAACCAAACACCAATTAAATGTGTAGCTCTGTGGCGGCAATGTTAAATCGATCCACAATTCCAGGGTCATAAAATTAAATTCCATCAATATCGCATGCAATTATTGCCAATAAATCGATTTAGCTAATCAATTTGGGAGGGTAGAAAATCCCAAAGCATCGGCGATTGCACGCGAGAAACTGGCTTTTTATTGCCTGTATGCAATTTGCTGAGTTCATGTCTCTTTTGCCCTCTGCAACGATGCTCGCCAACATTCTGCACTGACGGAGGAAAATGCCGCGAATTTGATCGGTGCCAGAGTGCAAATAGCACAATAAGATCTCTCCATGTCTCGGGAAGAGAGTATAATTTTGGCTATCGAGCAAGAATCCCGCTTTGCCCCTTTTCTGTGCAATTATACTTCTTTTATTAGTCGCAACACATATAATTTCTTATCGAGTATAAATAAATGGTAAATTGGGAAAATCTTAATTGTCTCTAGCAGCGATAAATTTTATTTGCCATCCTCAAATGCCTCATTGGCTTTCAGCCAATAAATACGTGATTTCTTTTCAACTGTTAACTCCTCTGGCATTTTTATAGATTTCTTGTATCTCTCCGGTGTGTGTGTATTTTTTCTTGGCTTGTTTGCTTTATTGTTTGCCCAATTTTTTTCTCTTTTCCTCACCTCCTTTCGCGCCATATCAAATACATCGCAAGGAGAGTCGCGTTCGCTCATCAATTTCGATTATATTGTGTCGATGTGTGGATATTTTTACGAGACTCGCAAGCACTAAAAGACGTCCTTGGAAAGCTGAGGATTCGCCCTGAGAGGGAAGTATGATACAAAATTGCAATTTTGGCGACGTCGCATAATAAATTGCACGCGCATCTTGTATAATTAGTTGGGGATTTATTTCTGGTCGCACGATGAGAAGATATGCAGAAGCTCCAAAGTGGTGAAAGTGACATCAAAAATAGCCAACTTGTGTCGGGGTCAAGTGCGTTTAAACCTGCAAGGGGTCACTCATTGGGGCCCTCGCGGTCCCGATTGCACAATCATCCTTCTGGGTGGCGGGCAAAAAAGCCGCCAGTGACAGGCGCAAGTGAAAAAGTCTGTTTCCAAGTAGTCTTGAGAGGGTCATTAAGTGTGATTTCCTGTCATCGTAAAACACCCAAAAAATATCTCAATTATTGCTTTTTAATGTGATTGTTTGTCTCAAGACGAGGGGTTTATTTTATTGCAGAAAAATCATTGATATTATTCCCTCGTCTCAAAGTTGCGACCCAGGCGCGGAAAAAATGGAGGAAAAAGAGCTTTTTTTTCACGATTGAAGAATTTCCCATGAAGCGTCGCTCTTCCTTGTGGCAGTTAAGATTGGAATTTCGGGCCAGTGTTTCTGTATTTTTAACTCTTGTTATAATGCGATTTTACTTCTCGATCATGCTACTTAATCCCCAATAAAATTGCTTTTGCGTGATATTTCTGCACAATCATGGAACAATTTGCAGACCTCTTTCGACTTGATAATTCGATGTGATTTGGAGAACTCCAATTTTTCCTTTTTTTCGCCTTTGTCTCAATAATGAATCACACTTTGTGTGTGATTCACGCGCCTTTGGAGGTCAACGGAGTGCGCAATGATCATCCCTTGTTTCACCACCGACAGGGCGCTTGTCGCTTATGGTGTTTGGGGTGAGTATCGAAATAATTTGGCAATTAATATGAGTGGATGTTCTCGACACAGACGCTCTCGAGTTCGCCTTGAGTTTCGACAGAGGCGCATAAATTCTGATACAGTAAATACATCAGCGGTCGTGTCAGCATCCCAATGGTATTAATGTGAAAATAGTCGAAAATGATTATTATTGTTTTATTATTGAGCCATCGCGATGAAATGTAGAATGAGGTGGGGCCGCTGCGCCTCCCTCGCGGCGTCTCGACACTCCACGGTGATTATTTTGGGCCGCGCGCGAGTGATGCAAATGTGAAAGTGAAGGAGGACTCACAACATGAATGTTTAACAACTCTCCTCACTCACTTCTGTACATGAGAAGTGTCTCTCGATGTACAAGATGATTTTAAAACACTTTCGCCTTGTATACACTGCGCCGATATATTGAGACCATGAGCGATGGGATGCGTCCAATCGATGTCACGCGGGAGGGGAGAATTACACAAATAAATTGGAGAGACAAAAGAAAATAAAGCATCACTCTTTAGTGGCGAAGACAGCACTCGAGAGAGAGAGCATGTTTTATTGCACCCAATTGCATGGTGGTGCGTTCGAAAATAAGTCTTAGCATGGCCAAAAAGGTGGTGAAGACGAGTCGCTGCGGTGCACGAGTTGTAAATGAAGAGACTCCGCTTAATTGAGCATCACTTTGTTCAATTACTGATTAATGATTCGTTGCCTAGTGCGCGTGTATTCTCGCCTTTTCTTGGCCCACAGCGAGAGAGAGATCAAATTCACAAATGTCAGTGCGACCTGAGACATGAATTCTGCTCTGATATTCAGCCAGATTAATCCCCTAACGAGATAAGAGACTCCTCTTGAAATCCTCGCAGGACATCCCATGTAGTTTAGAGCGGGAAACCGACAATGCATTATCGAGCAATTAACCCGTGAACTCTAAAATTTCACTATCGCCCCACCGGAAGAGCGGCCAGATTATCCGCCGAGAGCTCTTTTTCAAGGGGCCCACACAACGTCCGGCAACCGCACACCCTTCCTCGTGACACCCCTGTGGGTTCAGGGCAAGAAATATTTGCAACAAGGACACGAGGGAAGATCGAGAGCAATTTCTCACTCTCGAGGAAACCGACCTCGGGACAAATTTACCATGCCCAGGTCATGTCAAGTGAGGGTGGAGCGTCGCACACCATGTGAAAATTGAGACGCTAAATGACCATCGAATAGCAGTCGAATTTGGGGGTTGGATTTCAGAGTTGAACTGCAAAATAGAGCCGAAATACGCTCAAATGTGACACCTTAAAGTCGAGAATCTCCCAATGCGACTGAAAAATGATTTAGGGAGGAACTTTAAACAAAACTATATTACTTCTCAATTGCCAAGGTACAGAGCGAGTAATAAAATTGAGGCCATCAGAGAACACAATGTTACCATGGGTACTTTTCCGTTAATAATATTGAAGGAGAGGAAGGTTCAGTGAAGTTTCCTTTGAGGATTGTTGTCTTACATAAAGAAATTATGGTCGTCAGCCCTATTAATGTACGTATGTGAAATAATAAATTAAAGTCACATATAGGGGTACTTAAATTACTTTCTAATTACCGATATCTCGTTTGTGTATTCATTGCGTTTTCTCATATTGCGGAAAATCGTGTGTGAGTGCTATACTTAATAATAAAGTTGGAGTCAAACGAAAACGACAAAGAGTTTGTTGTTTCTGCACACAAGGCAGGGCGGAAAGGGGGCTGTGTGGATGTGTGATATGCAAAAAAGGGGGCGGCGGGTGGTTTGTGACTGCGGCACTCTCGGGAAGAACCGAGAATTTTATGCCACGTACAATAATAGCCCCACGATGGGGGTGAAGAACGGCTCTGTGTTGTCTTTGAAGCGGGGCGAGAGTGAGAGCGAGAGACTTGCGGAACAAAAACATATGAGATGACAACAAAAACTTAAGGTTGGCGGAAATAATTCAATTGATAAACATCTTCCTTGGTGCCTTTCTTACACAACAATCAACACACAAGCCATATACACTATTATGATGATGTTCTTGTGGTGCAATCAAGGTATTTGGCGATGTCTTTTGTCTCCGCGCCACCCAAACTCGGGCCATCGCACAGCAAACTTGCCTTCTCACATTAGATCATTGTCTCGAGGGTTGGGGGAAAAGAAAGTGAGATAATCATCCTCTGTTCATGTCTCTCCGTGCTAATCTCTTTGCGATACACGCCACTTTTTGCCCCTGCCTTTCACCCTCTTGACCCCAATTGTCGCATACGCCAGGGTTGCGTTCTATTTTTGCACACCTTTGAGCGCGATTGCAGTGCAAAAACTGCAATTTCGCCCCATAATTTTGCAGTGGGGGAGAAAAGACTTGTCGTGCAGACAAAAAGCAACCACTGAATAGGGTCACATTTGGGGATTAATCAAAACATCGAAGGGTGGAATGCAAAAACGGATGACAGTGAATCAACCCTTTGTCCTCCCTGTTCATTGGCTCGCGCGCTGCAACTTTGGTGGGTTTGTGAGATTATTTAGAAAAGTCTTTAATACAGTCGGAAATCCGGAAATCCGTTTGCTTCGTCACGACAATTTTTCCTCAAGGAGAAACTTTTCAGAGTCGAAGGTCTTCAGGGGGCAAAATTTTGCGCCCAATAATTACACGCCTTTCGCTCTCCTTCGAAGGATATTCCTTCGGCGCTCATGTCGACAATCAATATGTATTTCCTGATCAAGTCCATGTACACGAGCGCGTATGTGAATGATTGTCACGATGGCGGGGATGAAAAGCATCATCCCTGACATGGAAAATCATCTCCTCCCGCCTCGCTTGAGTGAGAAATGAGTTGGGATTCCATTGTACCGAAGGTCTGAGGGTGAGAATTTCCCCCTTTTTGGCTTCATTTAGAAATTAGAATATTCATATTCATATATTGATTATCAGTTTCGTGGCAATGACGGGGAGGCGGGCGAAATTCATGAATACACGAAGACTCTCCCTTCAACTTTTCGAAGATGTGGCGCGCTGATAAAGTATATTAAACTTGTCTATGTAAATAAATTTATATTAGCCTGCCTTCAATCAATGCCATTGTATTGATCTTTGTCTAAAGAAATTCTCCTTCGATTAATCTTCGACGTCTTCGCGCGCGCGAGGGGGTGGAATTTCCACTGTGCAGAGAGGGTGGGGGATGAATTTTGAATTGGCGGGGATTTATATAGCTTCACTCACAGGGTGGAATTACCTTTTTGAGAAAACACCCTCAGAGCGCGATGTGTCGGTGGAAAAAGAGAGAGACAAGGAAGGAGTTGCGAAATTCTGGGTGGTTTTCACGATGAATTTTCATCAATTCAGCTATAATTATTATCTTTTGTGTCTCACATTCATTATTAATTGGTTCATTATTGTGCAAAATGATGTAACACCAAGAGATTTGGGAGACGATTGCCGCACGTCGATGAGTTTCTCCTTAAATACTTAGGACTCGCTGTGCGTTTTGGGGGTGGTGGAAATTTCACCTCCGCAGAAGAAAAACCCCAAAATCGCGACATTTCGGGGGCTTTTTCCACTGCTGAGGACCAGAATCATTAATGTCGCGCACACATTTTGACATTAATTCAAGCATGAGATGATGTTTGAGTTTTTGGCAATAGTGAAGGGTTAGCAACTCCCACAAACGACTTGAAGTGGATCAGTGTGAACAATGTTACAACACCGCTGACGTCGACGACGGATTCCAGCCCCCCTTCAAATTGCTTTTCGTCACACAAATTTCACAAGTATGAAGCAAGAGTATTTCGAAATTTTGGAAACGCTGGGGGAAAAAGAGATGTTTGAAGGGTTGCTAATATTGCCAATGCAGTGTCACTTGCTTTCAGATGCAGAGATGCAGAATAAATTGGCTGGTAATCGTTACATATGTATCTGTCTGCTCATTTAATCGATATGAATTTGGGGAAATGTAGACTTGCGAAAGTAAAGATATGGCTTCTTCTCTAGAGTGTCAAAGACAGTGCCGAAATCTTCCTAAAAATGTTTCACAAATGATACATGTGTATGTGAAAAAGATGAACTTTTCCTCCCCAAAGAAATCTTGTACAATTCGAAGGGCTTCTGAGTGATTTCGGACATCATCCAGCAGAGCTTAGGGGATCATCGATGGTGTTTTATCATGAGAAAGAGGTGACACTTACCTTTCTTCGGGATGAGCGACTTGAGCAGCAGCACGGCGTTATCATCGCATCCCCAGGCGTGCATCTTGCGATAGCTGTCGCGTCCCTTCTCCGTGAGCTTGTCCCACGGCTTCGGCTTCGACAGCAGCTCGGACACTGTGCCCTGGGAGAGGCCCAGCACGTACTTGGCGAAGAGCCTCTGGCCGATGTTGTGCACCGAGAGCAGCTCCCGGACGCGCCGCGAGATGTGGAGTGTGTCGAGATTCTGGTTGGCGTACTTGTCCATGTTGTAGCGCAGCATCTCCTGCAGCTTCGCCTCCATGGGGTCGCCCTTGGGGATGAGCGAGTCGCCGAGGCGGCCCACCATGGAGCCGGGCGGCAGCTGCAGGTCCTCGGCGAAGCGGAAGTGGCCGCGCTCCTGGAACTGGAACGGCAGCCCCTGCAGCATGGGGTGGCCGTGTAGGGGCGCGAGGGTGTTGTTGTTGTCCTCGGCGGGACTCTTGGCGTGCGCCTGGCCGTTCACCGGCTCCTCGCCGGCCAGCACGGGCGTGCTGCTGGCCGTGGACGAGGCGTCGTGGTCGCGAGGCTTGTCCTCGTGGCTCAGCTGGTGGGCATCTGTGGAGGGAGAACGACTCGTTTGGTGGTTCATGGGCGCTAGCATTGCGGGCCGCAGGGCCGCCAGGGCGTGATGGGGCGGCGGCGGCGGCAGCTCGAGGCCGCGGCGCCAGTTACTGACAATTTCTTCACCCAGGAATGAGCCGAATGTCTCCACGTTGGCGAACGGTGGTGGCAAGAGTGGGTTTGGCGGCGCGCCGTTGGCGCTCAGTTTGCCGGCGGGCGGCGCGGGGTGGGACGCCGGCAGGGAGATGGGCGTCGAGGTCGGCGTGTGAGCCGGCGTGCAGGGGGAGGAGGAGGAGGACGACGACGGGAATTTCGCACCGGGCTGCAGGCTGTTGTGACTGAATGGAGTGGCTACGCCGGATGCGGATCCTGTTGGGGCGGCAAGAAGGGTGGACAAAAGGGGTGAGAATCACACCGCCTCTCAGTTTCTCTTAAGATGATGAGTGATTTGGCGCTACTTGGGAAAGATGACTTCTATCATGCAGGCATAGAAACAGGCAGTAAATGAGTATGTCTTTCGTGTTATTATGCTGCGTTTGGATTTCATGCCGCCTTTTTCGGACATGACAATGCAGCGCCTTTTGCAAGCGCTGCACCCGAAACCCCTTGACTTCACAGATTTCACCTCATATTTCGTGTTTTAATTTATGCTCTGCTCTCACCCGGCAAAATGCTCATTTTAATGCATTTTGCCACACTTACATAAAATACGCGCCTCTTTTTGCGGTGGCACGTGAGAGTGGCGCGAAAAAATATCTCTTCGCCTCCGAATGTTCGCAGCTCTTGACAATAATTGTTGAATTTATCAAATGGGTAAATCTGTCTCTAATTTTTCTCTCCACAACTGCCGCTGAATTGAATTATTTTCTCGTTTGTTTCGGATTTTCCCACGGAAATTCATGTACATAGAAAGTTGAACTGTGACCACAGCGAAGGAGGTCACTTTGCAATAATAATAATAATAACACCGTTTGCATCGATATGACAAAGAGCGCATGCTGGAAAAATTCAGTGAGGAAATTTCATGGAAACTTTTCAATAAATACACCTTGAATTTCCATTATTTCGCGCTGATTGTCATTTGATTGACATGGAAATGAGCATTTGAAAAAATCTCTTGTCTATAATTTATCCAGACACACAGTTTCTCCTCCACGGCAATTTCCGCCTCATTTTCCATCCGAATTATGGTGAAATCCATGAGAAAGAATTTTATTGGTAATTTTGAGCTATGCGTGTGTGTTTTCTTTGTGTGAAAAAATATGCTTTTGAGAAAAAAGGGAACAACAGAGTGAGACATTTAAAGGAAAAATAAATCACATTTAGAGACGATATAAAAACTTTTAAAATATAATGTTAAACAGAAATTTGAAGAAGAAGATGATGGAAAATCGCCAAAAAGGCTCACACACCGAACATCGACCATTCCATTGTGGTGAAGAAATCATATTTATCGAACAAAATAAGACATGGTTCATGTCAATCATGCAGTAAAAGGCTAATGGCAAGGGATGAAAATCGTTAAAGAGGACGATATATTTATTTGTTGTGAATATTATCGTTCTTTTTATAGATTTCCTTTTTGGGCGGAGTGTGAAAGGGATGTTTATAGGGCAGAAATGCTCACCATCTGCACTGGCTGATTTGAGGGCTTCCGAGTGCGCAGCAAGAGCTTTGGTCCTCTCCTGGAGTAATTCTTGGAATTGTTTAGAGTCCGATGTGGATAAGTCAACAGACCTCAGGAGACTGCAAATGCGACAGAAGAGCAAATCATTAGGCGTTTTATTGCAATGAGCGAGAGTCAAAAGTCTCAATTTCACTCCCATTTTTTACGACTGTTTATATTGAAGTGAGAAAAGACCCAAAAACTTGTGCACAGATTCAAAGATTAGGGACTTGTTAAATTGCCTCCTGCCGCCTTTAATCTTCCCCGTCCCGTTGGTGTTAATTTCTTGCAGGATTTCCTTACCTGTTCTCCTTCTTGACGTCCTCGTAGTCGGACTGTTTGTCGAGTCTTGCCTCGAGGCGGGTGATTTGCTGTCTTTTCTGCTCCAGTCGATCCTCCAGTCTCTGGATTTGGGCGGCATGAGACTCCTGGAGGGCGGCAATTGCACTTCGTAATCGAGCTACTTCCTCCACTAAGGCGGATATCTGGAAAAAAGAGGGAAATCATGAGAATTCTCCACAAAATCCACCATTGAAATTCAACTTCAGCAAGAAGTGCAGAACAAATGCTCAAGAAGACGTCAGAAAACCCTTCCACCAATCTTCCGTCTGATATAAAATGTTGCTCATCTGTCGGTGGGGTGGATGAAATGGGGATGGATTGCTTTGCCAAGCACATGAGAGAGATATTCTTGACGGAGAATTTCTCTTGCGCGAATTTATCTGCACGAAAACAATCACTGTCAATTTAATTTATGACTCAATATACATTTGCATATCTATTTGTGATTAATAGAACCAAACCATATATACCAACCCTTCATCTGGGAAAATCTGACAATGTCTTTCTCACCCAGCGACTCCCGCCAGACAATATCAATTCGGATGAGGAGCGCCGCCCCCGCCTTGTCTAACGCCATCGCTCGCCGCAAATAACTAAATGTCTAAATGCCGCATATATGGGTTTCCTATACCAAGGATGTGTGCGGCTCAGCCTCGCAAAATCAATGTGGCCTCTCTGGATTGCTTCCTACTCGATACTGATTCGATTCATTAATTTTCCGTCTTTACAGCGATAAATCAAAACCGCTTTTACACCATCATCCCGACTCTGTTTGTCTCTGTGGAAACCCCAGAGCGTAAATTTTCCACACCCCAGAGCGGCGCCCACCCCACAATTGATGGATTTCATGTGTCTTCTTTCCCATCTCCGCCACCGCCGACATTCTTGGGATGTCTCACTCAATATTTTGCCACCATTTCGCGGTGGCGGCAAATCAATGCGGATATTTACAACACCATATCGATGCCTTTTCAATCGGCACGCCATGGAAACTGTTGCTGGCGGGCTTGTAATTTTTCAACGCATACACTGGCGACAGAAGTAATATGGCCGACTACACAAGAATGCCTTTGTTTTCAAGGATATTCATCAGTACTGACGATTCTCTGGAGGATATATTGCTGAAGATCGAACGCTAATCAATGTCAAGGGGCGGAGCTTGGAAGTGGGCGGGATTTAAGAATTCTATAGAATTTCCAACAAGTGCTGTACTTTGAAAAATCTTCTTAACGTCTCCCAAAAAAGCCACAACTGCGACAGTTGATGAACAACCCTCTAGACTCGATTAATGAATATTTCAAATAACTATTCCAAAACAGTCCTCTTGCATCTCTCGAGGACTGGACAAAGTGATAGTTGTGAAAGTGGCAACTTCATTAGATAAAATCCTATTGAAATGGGTCAATTTCCTCCTTATTGTCACTGAAAACTTGTCGCCACAGAATGTCGCCAACTGACCAAATCCACGAGGAGCATCCACTCCTCGAAAATCCGATTGGGACTGACACAAACGGTCAGAGAGAGAGAGAGTGAATTGACACAGGGCGAAAGACCATCCGGCCTGTGTAGTGTTTGAAAAGCACAAGTTTCAAAGACTTGCATGGGGTTGAATTGTGGATGGTGTGCGGTTTGTGCCACCAAAGCCACCCACCCAAACCCATGGGGTTGAACGGCAAAACACCCTCAATTAGAGCCCGATTGATTCATGGGTGAATATTTCCCATTTTTCGCTGCCACGCGCATTTTCTTATCAGATATGCGAGAAATTATTTGCCCCAATCGATTCTGGAAATAAGGTAGAAAAAGGCCCCTGCGTGTTGAGTAAAAAAAAATACTGACAGCCTGAGGTGATTTCTTTTATATTCCAACGTGCGATTTATATCATTTGCATGTTCGTCAATTATTGGAAAAATTCATTGGGTGGGAAAAAATAGTGTGTGAGAGGGAAATTATTTCACAATTTTTTCCAACTCTCTGCTTTTTTCACCCCTTTTGGGGAAGGAAATTGATTATTGGGGATTGTTTTTTTTCTGCCAGGAGGCGAAAAGGTTATGAACTCTCAGGCACATTTCCGTTTGAAATATAATTCTCGACACTTTTTCACTATACACAACTCAGAACTTCTTTGGCAGGTTTATAACCTTTCCACGGAGGGATATTAGATCATGGATGATATTCGTCTGCAAAAAGCCACCCTCTCCAAATGTATATTGTGACTAGATGTCTCTCCAAATTGTCCTATTCTCTGTGATTCATCAAAGTGAATTTATGATTTTGCGGAGTCCCTTCAATAATCTCAACCCTTGCCGCGTTTTTATCCCCCATCCCCGATTTTGGCAGCAAATACAAGAGCTGAAGGTGGGTTTTGGCCGGCAAAACCGATGGGGTTGTGGATGAGACACGATGGGACTGCGTCTCTTTTTTCGGCTAACCTCTTACCAGCTGATCCCTGGCTTTTTTCCACGCCGGTCCTCCATCATAACGAATGGGTTATGAGGACAGTCCACTTGTAATACCTCGATTCTCACTCCAGGCGCAACTTCGCTCGCTCCTCGTGTGTATTTCATAATATTAAAACACAAAAAGGATCGCAACAAGAGGAACCTATATTTTACGAGGAGGGACGAAAAAAAAGTGGCAAGGGATGCCAATGAGACGCACTGTGTCCGGCAGGAAAAAAGGACACGACAGATCGTGGTCGGAGAATGCTGGAAAGCACGCCAGCCACCTCATGCGAAGGCGCAGCCCGTGGCTCTCCAGTCAGGCACTGTAAGGACCCTCCGTCATGGTTTTGATATGTTCGATGTGCAGAATTATATCTCCGCTCCTTTTGCGTTCGTAATGAAAATATGACGATGGAGTGGGACAATGATAAAAAGTCAAAGTATGGCTTTTTCTTGTTTGGCTCTGCCGTCGAGACAGAGCTGCTTCTCCCCAATTGATAGCCTCTCCCTCTGTGGGTTCCTTTTTTCACTAAATTTATTCATCCCATTTAGATAATTTGCAGATGAGTTATTGGGAAAAATTTATCAATTCACTGAGCACGCGAGAGTGAGAGTTTTTATGCCACCCCAGCCGAAAATGACCGGATCTTGAGCATATAAATTACAATAGATAATTTTTGTCATACTCATGTACGTGTCTCTCTTATTCATTGAATTTATAATTCAATAATATGGTCACGGAGGGTTTCGTGGGCATCGAGAGCGGCTTCCACAGTCTCTCCCCAAAACTTGGCATGATTCTTTTCGTTGATGGGATTTTTTGTCTAGTTGGAAAATTTATTGTGATGGAGACACAGAGCACCAACACCCCTTCTCGATATGGTGGGGTATTTTTTGCTGGACTGCATGGCTCCTCGTGAGGACAAAAAGTGTCCTCTATAAGCCATCACTCTTTCAGTCATGAATTTTAATTATTTGATTATGGGGCGACAGAAACAGAAAAATGGATTTTAAAGAATTTTTATGCGAACCTACCCGCCATATATATTTCAGTGGTGGCACGAGGGGAGGCTCCATTGCCATTGAGACAGCGAGGGTTGCATCATTAGGGAGCGTATGAAATCATTAAATGCATCTTCTTCTGCTCTTTTCGCGACCACTGATCACTCGAGAAAATGACGATGAAACCCTTGACAACGATGCTTCAAATACATGGAGTGCTGATGAGGACTCGAAACGCTGCCTTGTTGCAAAATCACGTTCACAGACGTGCAAATTCTCAATGTGGAAATACACACGGTAAAATTCATTATTTAATTAATTCCGCAAATTTCCATCTCCAGCACTCTGGAGCACTATATTGATTTTTCCCATGTGCGCCACTGCAAAGTGGGTGCGAAAAGGCGCTTCGGGGATCCCTTTTCCCGCGTATTGACACACTTGCTCACTTGTCAATTGATACGCTATACTCAATAGCACAACTTGAGGCAAAACAACCCTCACACCCCCAGCAATCCGTCACACTCTGTGCAATTTCCATCGCATATCACGGAATATGATAAATTTCAATTACTCGTTACACTATTTGTCAATTTGAGGGGAGAAAGAGAGACGAGCTTTCGCGTCTCCAAAGAGACACTCAATGTGGACTCCCCGACAATCACATCTTTGAGGGCATCAGAGGAAAAACCTCGCTCTGGATTTATGTATTTTAATACCGACACACACATTCGACATTCATATCGTATTATCGTGGCGCGGGTGAAGGCTTTCGCGACAATTTGTGGATGAAAAGGGGCAGAAGATGGATTTTTGTGTCCACAATTGAAAAATGATGCTTCCTTTCAGTTTTAAATTCAATCGTCGCTTCACTGGTAATCCCTCTGGGAGACTATCAGTGGACAGAATTTTGCAGGGGGGATTTTCTTAAATTAAAAAGAAGAGTGGCCAGACTCTGAGAGTAATCCGGACGGGGGAATTCAGCGCTATATTCATGCTTTAATGATTGCCTGAATGTTAGAAAAAGTTAGTTTTTGTCATCGTATTTGGTAGAATTTGTCTAAACTTTAATAAACTGGATGAATAATACCAGAATTTAGTGCAAACGATCGACGAAGATCACTTGATCTTTCCATGTTTAATCTCTCAATTCTTCTAGACGTTGAACTTGAATTCGTGGCTTCGAATTAGACTCTCTTCTTCTCGGGAATCTGATAAATCTAGCTCATCTTTATATCATCCATTAAGATGAGAAAAGCACTCTCTATAGACAATGCCATTGAATTCGATACACATTGTTCGATTGACAAATTTCCTATGGGGGAAATACTGAGCCTCCCACCGAGGCGAAAAAAGACATGCCCAGAGAATGAGCGATGATTATTATTAATGACCCAGAATTGAGTTGAGAATTGCACGCAGGAGAGACAATCTCAAAATGTAATATTTTGTTGAATAACACAAGTGCAGGGGTTTCGGGGTGGTCTTCCGCTTTTTTGCCACCGCCATCGAGACAGACATTGGGGGTGGGCGGCGAGGAGAGTTGGATTTTAATGCGGAATTGTGTGCTGGACGAATTGTTGCAGAAAAAGAGGGGAGACTGTGTGTGTGGGCTATGAAGATGAAGAGGCAAATCCAGTCGTCAACATCGTTTCATATGTGAGCACTCAAGGGGTTGTCGATCGCACGGCTTGGTGGCC